GGTAGAAGAAGCGAACATTGACAAACAATGACGTTGTTTGACGTCATGAAATAAACAGCGACAGCGCCGAGTGATCATCTAATGTCGTTTTTTTTTTAATAATAATTTGGCAAATAATGCACGTATCAAGCTAAAATTTTCAAGATTTCTTTACTTTTTGTTGTTTTATGTTCCAAATAAATTTTGAAAACATAGTACTAATTTTATAGCCTCAGTCCACGAACTTTTTGATAACCCCTCGTAGACTCTATGGATTTCCTGCACAATATGTTCTTTTTCCAGATTTTATCAAGAGTCTTTTTATCCACTGGAAATTCGCTTTTCTTTTTACCAAATGTTTTGATTTTCCTACTTGGGATGTACATGTACCTCTTCTCCAATTTACAGAGTTTGTCTTGAAACTTTTGCCAGTTTTTGTCTATGTCGTAATTCTTGTTCAATAGTATTTCCCAGTTGATATCTTCTATTTTTTTTTATCAAAGTCTTTATAATTTCCTTTATCATAACACATTCTGTTTCTGTTATTGATTTTGATTTTTGTATATTTACATTTGCCAATGTCTTTCCTAATATGACACTACTAAAAAAATGACATTCAATTTTCGATGACATGCAGTCGGTCACATGATCAGACTTTCTTGCGTATGGAAAGCAAACTGCACGTGCAATTTGGAAAGTTCCGACTGTGACGTCACATAACGTCTTAGCAACGTTACGTTGCATTTCAAAATTTAAGTCTAAATAATGCCTATATTTGTTTGTAAAATGAATGAAAACGTAAAATATAAATATTAGAAATAAAATATCATTTTTTAGAGTTGCATTGGGGTATGGCATGAAGTCGGTACGTGATCAAATCTACTATAACGCCCTTCGGGCGTTATTGAATTTGATCACGTGACCGACTTCATGTCAAACCCCAATGCAACTCTAAAAATCAAAGTACTGAAAGCACTCATAGGAGTTGAACATGGTGTAAATAAAATCTTTGATCGGGAGGTTAAGTGAGTGAACAATATTACATGTATTAATTATTATTATGTCCGTATTTTTAAATACAGACAACTGTTTCACATTTTTTGAGTTGGAACAATCTTGATCGAGAAAGACGTTCAGAGACATTGAATAGCAAAAAAATGCATGGGCCATAATGCTTGCCTGCCTACATTAGTCCTTTTTTATACCCCCTGCTTGAAAAGCGGGTGGGAATTTATTAAACGTGATTTCCGTCCATTTGTTACACTTTAGGTATACCCATCTCTTATCCGCAACTCCTCTAACACCACTGAACAAAATTTTCATAGAATCTTTATTACATATCGCCGTTGTGCTTCTATTACTTTTTCATCCTGCACATATTTTGGGTTTCCCATTGCAAAACATGCAAACTGCCATTATATTCATATTAGAGACGGTTGATCATTTATATCACTGATCACAGTCTTCAAATTTGTAATATATTTTTCCTTTGCACCTTTACCCATGTGTTATGAAAATTTCAGTTTCGCAGGAATAATATCAATGTTGATAAAATGTGGATTTTATCACAGCATCCTTTTAAGAGCTAACAGGTTTGTTGTATAAAACTCTGTGTATAAAAATGTATTTCAATTACACGAACATTATACATGGAGTACGTCAGAACTTTATCCTTTTTTAATATTGTGAAGAAAAGAGCAATTCCAAGTTAAAAACAAATATTTATTGACGAAACATAAAAACAGTGGTATATTCGAGAGTTTGTGTGCGTACAAATTATCTGGTATGTAAATGAAGTTTTTCTTTTATTAAAAAATAAATATGCTTAATTTTGTTGTTTTTAATCGCGATTTTACGAAAACATCGGTGTCCGTGTTTGGTTTTAATATTTATAACAGAGTACTAGTTTTACCGCTTTTTGCAGGTGATACTGCTGTTAAGTAATAAATACGCATGTTTCCTAAAGTTTTTATGCATTAACGAATTCACTTAAACCAAGAAAATGTTCATGAAAAGTTTGAATATGACTAAATTTAACGTTTGCCGTCAGTATGTAGATTTGTCGTTTGTATCTCTTTCAGTGTATGACGCTACACTGAAAATGAGTTCCATTACGAAAAACTTTCATGGTTCTTTATAATTTAGTTTTACATAATTATGTACTTTGAACGAATTGTAATATCCAAAATAAGATTACTTTATCATTACATTTACTTACATTATGGAAATTAGATTAATTCAGGAGAAAATGACATGAACTATTTGTCACGGATGTTTATGCATGTCTTCTGTTGAATATCATCGGAGTAAATCAGCCGACACAGTAGCCTAGCTTTCGTCTCTATGTAATCAATACAAATTACTGCGCATGTTAAATACGTGATAACCATGGGAGATTGAACATAGTTCAACTCCCAATGATATCTTATTTCTTAAATAACAGTTAAATTGGAACTGTATTACACAGAGGTCGCTTTTGCCTAGTGGACTCTGGTATTCAAGGTCACTGATCATATTCTCTTCGTTTGTAAATATAAGGTTTAGCACATTAGATGTGTCAGTTCCTCTCCATCGTGTTGGTTTTGTGACATGCTGATATAGGTAATTATCCTGTATACACTGTATAAATTTGATTTCAGGTGCTTCAATATTGTCTTTAATTGTGTTTCAGCTATCCCAGTCAATCCCTGGATAGTTTAAGTCTCCCATCATTAAGATGTGGCTAAAGTGCTTATTTGATGCTTCACTTATTAACTGAAGAAGATTACTATTGTTGTCGCTCACCATCAGAAAATCTGACGGTGATCGGTATAGTAAACCAATCAGTAAAGTGTCTTGATTGTTAAGTTTTATTTTAACAAAAATGTTTCCTCATATTTTGTCTCTAGTATCGCATCTTTTGCATTTAGTGATTTGTGTATGTAAAGTATCATATCTCTTCCGACGTTATTATGAATGGTGACGTTAAACATGTCATAATCCCCGATTATGTCTAAATTAAATTCAGACTGGTTAAGCATATGGACGCTGTTCTTTGGTTTTACTTCTGTTATTCCTATCATCATTGGTTTAGTACTGCCAATTCTAGCTTGAAATTCATTAAATTTGTTGCGGAACTGATCTGCGTTTGTATAAAAACAATTTAAACTGCTTAGAACATTAAAATCTCCACCAATATTATTTACATCTGAACAGTTTCTTTTTCTTGTGTTTTTTACTCTCTGGGTTTTACTTTGACGATTCTTCGTGCTCCTGGGGGGCCTCGGACCTTGTATAAAAATTCTCTTGGCACTTCTTTTCGATTTCTTTGGCTTCTATATATAACTTTCTGTTCTAATCTCTTTCTGATTTTGTCAGATCATAATTTAGAGCAATTGAGTCATATTTCTTCCCCTCTCCCTTCAGCTGAATTGCATTTCTCAAGATTTCAATTTTCAGTTCTGGTGTTTCACTTGTAAGTAGGATTGGTCGGTTTAGTTTCTCCTTGTTGAATCTGCCTAACTTTGTGACCTTGCCAATGCTGTAGTTCTTAATATCTATATTGCAAGTTCTGGCTATGTTTGTAATTGTGTCCATATCAAACTGCTTCCTTTCTTCTTTTTACTTTGATGAACACTCTTCTACCCCATAAACGATAAGTTTTTCTTGATTTTCTTTCATATATTTCTAAGATTACTGAAGTTATTATCTCGGATTGTTTAGTTTTTTGATAGGACCTCTCAGCAGGAGAGGTTGACATTTCTTTTGTCCACTTGACATTTCTTTGAAATTTACTCAATGTGGAGGCTTATTATGGGGAAAAATTGTCTCATTGTCTGCTCTTAAATTAAATTAAATTAAAAAAAACTTGGGGCAGTTTACACTTTTTTATAAACCGCTTCGCGGTTTATAAAGCGTAAATGGCCCAAGTTATGTTATATCGTATAATTTAAGTTGAAATAAGTTTCATTGCTTAACTAAACAAGCAGCAATTTTTATTTTATTTATCATTTTGAATTATTGTACCAAGCTTTAAGTTATTTTACACCCGATTAGTTTAAACATCGTTCTACTAAATAAAATGAAAAGAAAAATTATAGTTAGTGATATAAAATTTTAGATGATAGTCAAGATATGCGATTTTCTGTAACGTTTACTTGGTTTCTTTAATAAATCTATGTTTTGGGAGAATAACGTTAGTCATTGTGCAATAAGCTAATCGCTTACAATAATTTTACGAACGTAAAATTGAATATCTAAATGTTGTTAGTCAACCATTTAAATGTCATAAAGATTACAATTACAGTGAAAAACACCACTGTTTACGAACCGCTATTCATCATGCCATGTTCACTGAATAATTACGAAAGCCCAGAATGCTCATTCGAGATTCGAGGTTCGAAATACGAGATTCGAAATTCGAGTTTCGAGATTTAAGATCCAGATTAAGCAATCAAAAGCGGGTTCAACATTTGATTACTCCCCCTTATTATGATTTTACTAACACGGAAATATATCAATATAGTGTAATGGGTAGCGTATTTGGCCATGACTACTATAGTTGAATCAGAGGGGATATTGGAAAATGGACTCTTTCAATATGCTGATCACCCCTCTGAGTAGATAGAATGGTCCGTAGGTAAATAAGTAGACGCTGGCAGCTACTAGGCCTTATTCGGACAGAATCAGTTGGTCATTACAGATCCTCAAAAGAAAGTGGAAGAAGAAAGTTCTTCAAAAGGTAATAAAGTCATTATTTGAAATAAAGGAAAAAGAGCGAAGGTTAGAAGTGCAGTAGTGGAAAGAGAATAGTCTAGACAGTCTAGAGGAATTGTGGTGAGGTACCAAGGCGAAGTTATTCTGTGTAAGGATGAAAGGACCTGGTACTTCACTTAACAATAAGGAACTCTGGCTGTGTCGGAGGTCCGTGTTTGCTCTGCTCCTATTTTGTATTGTTCTATGGACTTTGATATTGACTACTGTTCGTTATCTCCATATCCTTCACAACAGAGCGATCGAATCAAAAACTTCCATAGTAAGAATAGAACGTATTTCACAAGTTTTGAAAGCTGACACACACATATGCTTATCCTTTTTATCCACTTACTTTATTTACTTATTTCCAATGAAACAAAGAAATCCAATGTAAACAATACGATACAATACAACAGATATTTTGTAATCCAAGATTAAGATAATTTAAAAACGTATCTTAGTTATATTGTCAAGAATATGGCATTTTTAGATTTAGCACTAATAAGTCATATTTGATAATCACACAATCAAATAATATGCTTAATTTAAAGCTCGTCTTGTTCTGTTGGAATTGGTTCACGTCCCACCGAGGAACATGAACAGCATGCTTTCTTTTGTTTCTTGCAGATGATATACACAATAACACTAATGATGAAACCAATTGCAGCAGATACGATAATCCAAACACAGACTTTTCCTGAAATAAAAGAAAACACTTTAAGTAAACCAAGTTAAATATTTCGTTTTAATTTAGAAATGATTTTTTTTTCTTTAATTTTCCTTTGCTATCTTTGTTTATTTTATGTCAAATCAAAGAAGTTAAGAATTTGGCTGCATTTTGTCCTAAAGATTTAAATTAATGCCTCTATACAAATCGAGTATATAAATGAAATGCGGAGATACCGATCAATAATAAAGAATATTTCCATTTAAATTCTATTTTTTTTCTTTGTGATAGCTCTTTAGAATTTAGCGGAGTTGATTTCTTGATAATCTTACCGGCATGCAAATAAGGCAGGGCAGGTCGGGGAGTCACAAGCGAAGATGACCTAATATGCATGCAAAGAATGACTGCACTTAAGCTATGAGAGTTGGATCCCGATGTTTTGCGCAAAATAGAATTCCCAAAATTCATTAAATTTATGTTATATAAATGTTATATAGGTATAAAATAATATCTTAAGAGCAGGTTTTGGTATATTATATTACATGATAGTATTAAATAATGCCCTGCGACACTAGCTTTTGAAACGGGGGTCTAACAGTTTTGTCTCATTTCTATTGTTATTCATATCCATACCAGTTTTCAACGACATTGTTAACATCGAGCCGCAACTTGACCATTTTCTCATTTGCACAGAATGTGTATTTTAGCTATAACTTATACATATCCAAAGGAAAATGTTGGCCAAGTTGCGACTCATATCTAATTCTTTAAAAAATGTACCCAAACTTCGCTCGAGTTAGCTACTAAATAAGCAGATCAGCGAGTGACAGACCATGTGACCCGTTTGAAATTTTAATCACTTTTCTCACGTGACATTCAAGTGTTCAATACGCTTTCATTGTGTCAGTCTTGGGAAAATTCTTTTTCTATTTACTTCCATCTTCAAAATACCGAAGATCCTTGCGTATATTTTCTGGCGTTTTAAAGTTTACGTTGACTTCTTTCACAACAATAGTGTTTTTGTTCGGGGTATTTTGAAGGAAAAGGGTATTATTTTGCTGATTACATTCTGTACTATAGCAGTGGCGGATCCAGGGATTTTGAAAACGGAGAGGGGACCAGTTTTAGGTCAGGGTAGGAGCCCAGAGTCACAAAAAAACATTGATTTATTTAAGGTAGGATTCTTCTCTGGTTTTTGACTAGATGAAACATTCAAAGTATATTTGCTTATATGTCTTATATATTGAGGTGTAAGGAATTTAAAAGACCATATTTTTCTTTCCTCATCACAATTGTACAACTTTAAATAGAAATTGTAAACTGCGTTTGAAAACTAGCAGGGACTATATTTTTGGCGGAATGTTGGCGTATGAAAATATCTTCTTATCTGCCTCTCAAAATTATAATAGAACAATGAATTTAGTTATAATTTTTACAAAATCGAAGACTTGGAGAAATTTTCAAATGTTAGTTAAGTTAATAATGAGGGACTAAACTTTCAAAATATATCAAATAAATATGATTTTTCAAACAAACTAGAACTTTGTTAGCTTTTAAACGCTTCCTATCAAAGTGCAGATTTGAGCCAAAAATCCATAAAAAGTAATTTTTCTCTCTTAGTAAACGATCAAAACATTTTGTTTTTATATCATTTTGTACATTTTTAAGACTACTTTATGATATGTGAAAATAAGAAAAAGTTAAATATAGGAAGCATATAAAAATAACTAATATATCCTTAAAAATTAAGAAAAACAGAGAAAATTCGGATTAGCCAATATCCAGTTAAGTTAAATCATTTATGTAAATTTGGTAATATCATGCTATAGACCCGATATAGTGATATGTTTTAATGCAAAAAGAACAATCTTCAAACTTTTGAAATAGAAGTAGGTATTACATGATTGGCAACAGTATTTTTTCATTCTTAATGTCAAAGAAAAAGATAATGACCTTGACCTGACCTTGCCGCTAATATAAAACGGTCAAATTTAATTTCACTGATACTATCACTTACTGATTTTGTCTTCTTGATTCTGTGAAAATTTCATTAATTTTTAAATATTAGAAATATGAGTAGAATCCTACCTTAATAGTAATATTGCTTATTTTTTGGACGCAAAAGGGACCCCATAGGCCCTTTGGGCCCCCTCTAAATCCGCCCGTGTATAGCGCTGTATATAGGTAATATTTTGGCTTGGGTGTTTTATTAAAATTAATCAAGATAAGTACATTTGAGGCTAGTTCTTGGGTGGTTGTTGTAGCTTTTTTCCGTAATTTGTTAGGACGTTTTGCTCAGACGCATATATATTTTGGGTTTCCCGGCCACTGCAAAAAATGGACTTTGCCATTATAACCATATGGGAGGCGGGGAATCATTTAGTGAGCTCATTGCTTACAATATATTTAGTCTTAATATACTATGAACTTAAATTTGCATTTCAGTTGAAAGGTCTTGATGGGGCTATTCGGATCAATGCCATTACAAAAGAATTTATAAAATCATGGTTTATTGTAGCAAAATTACAATACAATTTACTTCATCAATATAATCAAAGTACTTGAAATACAAGTTTTTCCCAAATATGAAACACTCTTTTTGAACACAATGAACACAAAACCTTCCGCTCCGCCTTTTTCATATATAATGTAGATTTAATACGGAAAACCATGTGCTTATGATCTATTTCCATGCGATTTAAATGTCTCCGCCCCTTTGCTGCGATCTTAAAATCGAAAGCGGTTTAGTTCAATTTTCTGGAATTTATGGCTTAAACATGTTCTTTTAAATAGCGTTGTATGTAATTATAGAAATATATATGACTGTTAAATCGAGACATATATATCAAAAGCATATACGTGCACAATAACATGAATAATCAGTTATTAGTTTAGCGATACATTATAATCAGAAGCTTTAAATGGATAGCCGAAAAGGTTCCAAATAAGGTCCGTACGTGCAGTCATTCTTTCTGTCTCTGTGTCTGACGCTAAGGAGGTCAAATATGCGGGTAAGTATCGTGCGGTTGCCTTTGTGTTTGACGTCAGTGGGCTATTGAAATTGACATGGGAGTCCTCGAATAATGTAAATTTATGTCTACATTTAAAAATCTTTATCTACAATTTTATTTCACAATGAAATGGAAATATGAGGAATCTCTGTCTAGTTAGTATAGTATGCCAAGGACATCAACGATACTAGTAGAAGGAAACATTGGATAATTTACGCATAACGGGCGATCCCGTGTCACTATCGTTGGTGCCCTGGAATACTATACTAACTATACAGTGATTCCATAATCAAAGGTCCATTTAAAGCAATATGAGCTGCACGTTTGACATAGGAAAAAAAATGTTGCAAATTTGTAATTAACAATGAATATATATAAGATAAGAATAAATATAAGATTTATAAACTTCTGTTGTTCATATTTGCTATGAAAGAACTTTTTATAAGCTTTGATTGAAGGAAAATTGAATTATTGTCATCCTGTACAATAATGATTTTTTATATAATACTGTACATTCGGTTGTATTTTGGTTTTGTTTTTTGGGTTTTATTCATCATAAGGGTTTAGAATACATACAGATTAATCATAAGAACAAATTTTATTAGCAAAATAAAATTCCCAAAAATGCAGCTCATATTGCTTTAAACAAGACAAACCAATGTCAAATAAGTAAACACGAAACATTAGAGGTTATAAGGTACCAAGAAGAAATAAGCATCTGGTCACATCCGTCTTATGCTCTTTGTCATGATCGGGCAAACGGAAAAATCCCTAGACAATTTAAAAATTAACCAACAATGTGAAAGAAAAACATAAGTGAGCATTCAATGTGAGACAATCCGGGAAAAGATATTCCGTACAAGTCTTGTTTTAGTCATGTTCCGCTAGGTGGCGTTATTTTAGCACGGAGACTATAAATAAAGGTGAAGCGGCGAATTTAATTCAATTGCGAAGTTGATGCTGAAGCGGAAAGACAAGCGGACCATTTGTTACGAGAGGTAATTTTTAGTTTATGATAATAAATAAATATTTAAAGCTTTCAGACGTGACCGAACAAGTCTTCCCTTGCTTTAGATATTGCTTGTTATTAAAAGTGACACTGGGAGCCAGCAAGAGCTGTACTACGGAAACCAGCAAGAGCTGTACTATACAGGAGCCAGAAAGAGCCGAACTGTATGAACTGCGCTGTAAGAGCCAGTATCAAAGAAAAGAGCTGTAGGAGCCATAAGAGCCGAGTTGCAAGAGCCGATCTCTTATGAGCCAGCATCACTGATTTTTCTGTATATAATTGATTAAAGACAAGAAGTCTGATATTTATTTGTATATATTGCTTAATCACATATTTGTATATATTGAACCTGCCAGGTCCTCAGAAAGTTAACTGAGGGGATTCAGCCGCCTCTGTTAATTATTATCATATTAGGTTTCACGCTACAAATGTTTCTTGCCGTTTAATGCATTAATGCATTATCCGAGCGAACTTGAAACATAAGACAGCAAAAAGTCTGTTGCATTGATTTCATATCGGGGTTTTTTAATAACTATAGACGATAGAGGCCTTGAGCAACTAAACTGTATGTCAACTGAAAAAAAACAGAATTCCATCGTCAAATTTTTTTACACATAAAGCAGTATTTCGTAGTTACCTACATAATTATGATGTGTACTTCTCCTAACTTCTCCAAACTCATTCGATAGTCAAGAAGAATTTCTAGGTCACTGACAGATACGTACCTGTTACAGGGAATTCAACCATCTCGTTTTAAAGTCGATATCCCATTGAATAAATTCTTCTTCAATTCTTTTTCTATTCAGTAGAAATAATTTGAAATGACTTTAACTTACCCGTGTCATTCTTTTGATATCTGCTGCAATCTGCTTTTTGTGGTGCTATAGTGAATAAAACGTTAAAGGATCGGTATGCAACATACAAAACAAAATCTCATACGAAGAAATAATATTATATTTTCTCTAATAAAGTTATTCAATACTCATGTTAACAAAATAACTTACATATAGAAAGAAAAAATAATAATATTTTATTTAAATGCGAAATTAGGTTTAATGTACTTGGTACTTTATATGACAGAATTTGTAAAATTAATCGAAAGTTCGATAAGAAATTAAAAATACAAAATTTAAACAAGAATAACAAGAAGATGGAGGAATATACACAACTGTAGGTAACCCAAGTGAATAAACTGATAAAATAAGGTTTATCAGTTTAAGTCAGACGTCATAAAAATAATAAAATAATGACGGAAAAACAATTTCATTTAACTATTTTATTTGTATTTATATCATTATTTAAAAGTGCTGCAGCAGCGAGTTTATTGGATAATATGTTGAAATAAAATTAAGTAGTTCCAAATCAAACTTAATTTCACAGTGAAAAAAGCTTTCTCGACAGTTTGTTTAAAATTCACTATTCTGATTGCAAATTCCTGTAATTTTATCGTTCAGATTAACCGAGAAAAGAAGAACGTACTATAAAACTCACAATTTTCACAATGTTTTCCACTGAAGAAATTTACACAAATACATGTGTAGGCTAGTTTTGCATCAACTATGCAGTGTCCACCATTTTTGCAAGGTATGAAGTTACAAGGATCGTCTGAAATGAATATGATTTGGTATTAATAAACAAGAGGTCCATGTTCCTTAAATGTCACATGTGCATCATGCAACGCTTTTCTAACAATGAACATGGTTCATGTTTTAAACCCGATGCCATTACATTAACAATTTTAAGGTACCAAACCATCATAATTATACATATAGCAATAGATAAGCATGGTTATACTTAATACCCATAGAGAGAACAAAGCTAATCAGCAATATTCAGCAATAATAAGTAGTGCCCTCCTCACAGGAACCCCTGACCGCTGATCCTAGGCCCATTTCACAAAGAAAAAGGCCCCTTTGCCCATCATAAATGATTGATTAATATTTAAAAGCTGATTTTAAAGCATTAAGTCATCAGCAGAATATAATCAGAGCCCCTTTCCCCTCAATGGTACTTCTGACACGGAGGTGGGGGAGGTGAAATACACATTTTTTTTGAAAGAAGTGTCCTTGCTCATGATAGATATTTATGAGAGCAAATGAGAAATTTTTTTATTTGAATTTTTACTATTTAATGTATCTAGCCACATCCTAACACCAATATCCCTGGCCTTGAAATTCAGAATTTTGGAATAGGCACCCTTTTTCATCATTATGATAACTATTAATGCAGTTAGTTTGTTTAATACCCAAAAGCAGAGAAAAAGATTGTCAAAGAATAAATACATTTCTATTATATAAATTTAATAAAAAGAGCCCATCCTAACAACAGAAAACGAGTTCCTGGAGCCATGAAATTTACAATTTGGAGAAGACATCCTACCTTATCGAAACTACAGTCGCACCTGCTGTTACGGCCACCCTGATTCAGCGGCCACTCCCCATGAGCGGCCAGTTTCAATCCCGCCCGTTCAATTTTTCACTATATTTTAACTCATTTAAGCGGCCACCTGTCTAACGCGGCCAGTGGCCAGTGTTTTTAGGTCCCGTGCGCTCAACATGCCTGTTTTCAGCGGCCATTTTGTCCGTTTTGTCACATGACTTCCGTCTGACACGTGACCTCGTATCCTCATACGAAGCCAAACACGAACAGCTGATAATGAGTTAATGACCAATAATTGCAGGTGTAATTTGAATTCTGTCAGGATTTAATGATTTAACTAATATGATTAAATGATTTATTGTTAACAGATGTTTTTTGGTGTTCTTAATATACGAAAGTAAGTTCTTGAATAATTTCATGAACTCAATTACAATTAATTTTGCCTGAGGTTATCAAGTCATAGCGGACAGTCTTTTATGTTATATAAATAAATATATATCTAGAAAAACTAAAAAGCTTTACACAGCATCCGGGAAACGCTAATAAGTTGTTAGAACATTTCATGATTTTCTTGTGGCTGCAAAATCAAATTACCAACACACAAAAAAAACAATAACAGATTTCTCACAGAAATTCATGTAAAATAAAATGTAAGAAAATGGATTTAATTTGACTTAAAATTTCCCAAGTTTTTAAATGTGTTGAAATTGGATTTGGATACATGTGAAAAAAAATACACAACTGTGATCGCAATTTTTTTTTTATTCACTGCTTTGAAACCTGGAATAAGTGGCCACCTGTCTTATGTGGCCAATTTGTCATTCTCCCACGAGTGGCCTCTTAAAACAGGTTTGACTGTATACAATAAATTTCTTTCTTTTTATGTACTAACATGTAATTAGTTTATTTAATATCCAGGTGTAGAGAAGATTTTCAGAGAAATAATGCATTTTTACTATACAATATATGTAGCCAAGCACTAAAACTCCAGTATCCGGGGTCATGAATTTTACATTTTTTGTAGAGGACGCAATGTTTATTAAATTCATACAAAGAGTTCGAGTGCTTAATGTCCGGTTGAAAAAAAAGAATTCCTTAAAGATTGTATTGATTTCAGTGATTTTGTCCTACCACTCAGCCCCCAGGGGGAAGGGACCATGAAATTTACATTTTTTGTTCCCCTTCACCCATATATGCTTTTTTCCAAAATTGGTTGATACTGGTTATGCGGAAGCTGAGGAGAACCTAAAATATTCAAATGTTAACGCACGATGAAAACAGGTCATAGGTTTACACAGGTGACCCAATAAATCGTACTAAGAAAGGAAAGTCAGGCATATTTTCCTATTCCTGCACTTTCATGTATGCTTTCCTGACCTATAATCAAAATTCTTTTTGAGAATTTAGATATTTGGAAACGGGCTTTGAGAAATTGCAGAAAACATACTTGTTTGACCACCTTTAGCAAATAATTAAAATATCGTATAAGTAGTATTTAAGCGAGGATTAAATTTTGGCATTATTAGTGAGGGTTCCAAGATCGCTAAAGTTGAATATCGCTAAATATTAATTGCATTTTATTTGTAATTACTTCTTTACAGCCTATCTTAAAGTCGCTAAAATAACATGTCGCTAAAAATTAAATACCAATTGTTAAGGACAAATCGCTAAATTTGCGTTTCGCTAAAATTTCCAATTATACGGTATGAGCACAGCCCACGATTCATATAATAAAACATGTTTTTATACTCAGAAACAGATCTTTCATTACGTATTTGCATATTTTGGATCAGATGTTGTGCTTAACATGAAATATTGTATAAAAAAAAATTCGTCAATATTTAGCCCTTTTCAAAGGAATTTACAGAATATGAGGAAAAAGACGCATTTTATGAAGTTATACTGCATTGAATAGAGGGAAAGTTACGTCATAATTAATAGATACGTGCTCATTAACACTCCAAGTGATAAACACTGCATTTGCAACCTACACTGAGTGGTTTTGATTTTTCAGAACTTCTCAGGGCCAAATAGGGTCTAAAGTGGCTCGTGCTCTTTGATATCCTATGCCACCTTTATTCTGTCCATCTAGTTAACATCTTTTTAAGCCCAGTAGTTTCTAGATTTTAACTGACTTAACCAGAATTTTGAATTTGTACTACTAGTACTTTGTTATTTTACGTTCTACTAGACTTGTAGCTGTGCAGTCCAGCGGGTGAAATATACACAGTTTCCTTTAAATAACAGTAAAATATAGTACAACGGTAAAATATATCAAACTTAGAGCACATTTAAGGAGTTTGTTTTTGCCGACGTGAAGCTCACACTTAAATTCACGTTATGTCTACTTAAAGGGGTTTATTGTTCTAGAAATGAATTTGTAATCAAAGTAGTTCATACCAGTAAAATTGAAGAAGTCTGATGCCTTGGTTTCATATTCTTTTCCGCTAAGCGATATGTACTGGAATTTGAACCTCACGCGTAATTCACTAGAGAAGTCAGATTGTTTAATCATTCCTGTCGCCCGCAAAACATATTCATTATTGTCACATCCAAATTTTTTACCATCCTCATAATATAAAGATAAATTTCGTCTTTTAAATATCTGAAAATGTGGATCGCCCTGCAAAAAGAAAGAAGGTAAATTCTGCAGTGAAACAAGATGTGTTTGTGAAACACTGATGCCCCCGTATGACAACATAGCGAAGGTTAAGCATTCTCTAATGCTGATCAAATATGTTGGTACATTAGGTAAGGCCTTTTCAGAAGAAATACATATGTGAAATAAAAAACCCTAGCACCACCTGTTCAAGGGTTACGACCAAGGTAAACATTTTCAAAGGAAGGACGAACTCTGGGTCAAGGTTAAAGGGTCAGGGTTGTTGGTTTCTTAAGAAAGACCTTGTCTCAAAGATTACATATGGTAAGTATGAAAGCGCTGACCCTTAATGGTCAAAAGTTATAGACAAGGTTAAAGTTTGTAAAAAGAAGGTCAAACTCCAAGGTCAAGGTCAAAGTTGCTGATATCCAATAAAAAGTCTTCTCACAAGGATTACATATTTGAAGTATGAAAGCCCTAGCCCTTACGTTCAAAAGTTAAGACCAATGTTAAAGTTTTTCCGTAAGTACGGAGATCTCCAAGGTCAAGGTCAAAATTCTTGATTTCAAATGAAAGGTCTTGCCAAAAAGAAGAGATATTTGAAAAATGTCATTACTAGTATTTACCATTTAAAAATTAGGGCCAAAGTAAAAGTTTGCAATTTTTGTGTAAAAGTGGGTCTAACTCCAAGGTCAAAGTCAAAAAGTCAAGGTTTTTTATATCAAATGAAAGGTCTTGTCACAAGGAATAAATATGTGAAGTATGAAAGCTCTAGTACTAACCCTTCAAAAATTATAGTCAAGGTTGTATTTTTAAGGTAAGTCAAACTCCAAGGTCAAGGTCAAAGGGTTAAGGTTCTTGGTCTCTAATAAAGCAGCTTTTTACAAGAATTACATATGTGAAGTAAAAAAGCCCAACACTTTTTGTTCAAAAGTTATAGTCAAGGTTAAAGTTTTTTATAAGTACAGAAATTTCTAAGGTCAAGGTCAAAAGGTCAAGATTGTTGCTATCCAATGAAAGGTCTTTTTACAAAAAATACACATGTCAAGTATAAATGCCCTTGTGTCTACTGTTCAAAAGATATGGCCAAGTAAAAATTCAAAATTTTTGTGTAAAAGTGGGTCAAACTCCAAGGTCAAGGTCAAAAGTCAAATTTGGTGGTACTCAAAGAAAGGTCTTGTCACTAGAAAACACATGTGACATATGAATGTCATAGCTCCACTGAATCAAAAATTATGGACAAGGTTAAATTTTTTGCGGACAAACAGACAAACAGAGGGACAGAGAGACAGACAGACAGAAGGACACGACAAAAACTATATACCCCCGAAACTTCGTTCAAGGGGGCATAATAATACTTACAGGTAATGTGATGTCAAAATTTAGACAATGTCAGAGAAAAATTGCAATTTCTTAATACGTAGTGGTATGAGATATGATTTAAACAGAAAATCAAGTTTTAATTATTATCACTAAAGCAATTTCATTTAAATATTGCAATTTGTGCACTTTTCCATCGTTGTATCGTTTAAAGTATTCACTGACAATTTATTTAACAAATATGTATTTTTTGTACTTAAATAAAAAGTTCTCAGGCAAGCATTTGAAGTAATTTCAGAATATAGCTATAAACAAATTTGTACGGGGGCTGTTCAATAAATTATCTCCTCGGTGCTCGGAAAGAAGCAATGATTTAGTCTTAATGATTTTACTTAATATTCTCCATTAATTAAAATACATGTCTGTAATTTTTTTATCCAATTTCAGATTGTTTTAAAACGCATTTTTGGGTATGACCTATAGTATACTGGAAAATGACAGATTTTATGATTTCCTGGACTCGTTTCGTCCTTCTTAAAATTGTTTTTTCAAGTTTGGGAAATGAAACAAATCAGAAGGAGAAAGATCTGCCGAGTATTGTCAATGTGAATAAAAAAAACTTTTTGTTTATCCCAAAACTCCTTTACTCCTCATGGCGTGCGGGTTTGGACGCTGTCATGAATAAATGTAATGTAGTGGATTCCTGATTCTGGTTCTTTCCAGTGATAGACCTTTCGATTGTTTTGCAAAAAAATTTGCTTTCTAGACTCTTCCAGAAATAAAACTGCCTCCCCGAATACGAATTTGAACGGCAAGACCATTAATATTTAAGAAAATTACATATAAATCTGTCTTTGTGCTCTCGCAATTCTTTGCTCTTTTTGTCAGGTACATTTAATTAGAAAATTTTGTTTCGACGGTTTTAAGCAATGTATCCAAGTTTCATTATCTATTTAAATTTCAAACAAACGTGGATAACTACGTTGACTGATATTTTGAAAAAATGGCTTAAATGTTCTTACAAATTTTCGTTTTCGCTCATTTTTAAAACATAGGGTGACCTTTGAGTACTAAGTTTTTTTACTGTCAAAAATTACTTTAAAACGATGTGAACTACTCCTGAAATGATGTCTATCAAATTTGCTATTTCTTAAAATCAATCATATGTCATGGGTGATTATTTGTTGAAATTTGGCAAACAGTACATTAGTTGTTGTAATTTTATGTAAGCAAGAATGTACCCATTTTTGATGCCCATTATATTATTTTTTACCATTGAAATCCACCTTTCATTTGTCTATAAAACGGACATTGGTTGCCAAAAACTTTACACATAATCAGTGAATATTTCTTTGGGATTCTTAACGAGTTTTACAATGCTTAAATGAAGCGTTTAATTTCACTCTAGTTTATTGATTCTTTACCATTCATTTTTAATGCAGTTTCTCGGATAGCCCTTTTTTCCAGCTTCTTTTAATGAAACAATGTGATAAAAAGTAATCACATGTATTGTTTTAAATTCATTAAAGATTCAATAATTCGAAAAAGTCAAGCTCAATGTCATATGATATCTGCATTGTAAATTTCCAGCTTCTCATAATAAAACTATGTGATAAAAAGTAGTCACATAAATTGTTATAAATTCATTAAAGATTCAATAATGCAAAAAGGTCAAGCTTAATGTCATATGATATCTGCATTGTATGCCATACAGTTCAGGACATTATTAATTGAACATCCCTCGTACTTGATTAACTAGCCTACTGTTAATTTCCTTGAACTTAATTTTTTTATTCTCACTTTCCCTTAAATTTATTTTTCTATTGTCGATTTTCCTGAATTAAAAAGCATTAATACACCTTGTGCCTGCATTCTGCTGCTAAACAGTTGCTTCAATATGCATGAGTATTTTTTCAAACGAACTATTTATAACTGAAGAAGACTACTTATAAAAAATAAATGTTACAGCAAGGAATTGATCTATCCGTGAAATATCATCCTGACCATTTCTTTAGTCGATGAAATTACATTATAATTACAGTGGCAGTATGTGGTAGGATCTATTGTTAGTGGATTACTGCGTTTAGCAGATCATTTAAGTGAAGTAATCATTCTATCAAAATTGTATGCAGTACTTGAGATTCGAATTTACTTACACAATTGCATTTTAAACACTCTGTTTATTCAAACTACAACAACAGAAGTCTCCCAATTTACTTTTTAAAAATTGTTTTCAATTACAGAATATATCAAAGTTACGAATGAACACAAAAATTAATCTTAATTTAGATAAATGAATGTTATTAAATTTAATATTATCATCTCTCTCTTTCTCTCCCTCTCTCTCTCATTCAATTTACTTTCACTTACCTTTACTTGATAGAGAAAAAATATGTCTGCACTGTAAGGATACACACAGTATGCTTCTGCTGTCATTGCCAAATCATTTCTGGTCAAGTTGTTTTCGTTTCTTACCACAAATTTCTTAGGTTCAGCTTTAAGAAATCACATGAAAAAAACGTAAAAATTGTTTTGTGTATGTTATGTCTTTAAACTTGACACATGTAGGATGCATTTTGACGTTATATGTGTGAAATACTGGAGTAGTTACATTATAAACAAGAGATGTTTGTAAAACACTTCTCTCCCCCTCCCTCAAATAATTGTAATTTGGTATAATTCCGTCCTAAATCCCTTGATTTTACGCAAACCCAAAATTGACCTATTCATTCTTATGATAAATATGTGTCCAAATTCATAATTCTGCATAACTCTTGGCCAAGTTTTAAATATATTTACAAGAAATAAGTGTGAAAATGGCCAGGTACGAATTTCATTTTTTATAATAATTTCAAAATATATGTAACATTGAAAAAAGTGAACTTGGTCAATTGTTGTCCTGGAGCCAAGCTCTTGTCACTTCATTTATTTATGTGAATTTTTTTTTTGGGGGGGGGGGGTATATTATTAAATTTTATTTTTGTCATTATCCTTGTAAATTAAGATGTTCCGTCTTCAAGTTTATTTGCGTAATCTTTTATTTCAAATTATTCGCCTAGTAATCAAGTCCTTTGATCTAAGTTATATTATAGTCATCATTATGCTAGTAAACTACTTTTACATATGTATTATACAAATTGAATAATGAACTAAATTACGGGGCCTGACATTTGCCACCGCGACAATTACTGAAGCACTCTTGAGTTTTCTATTAATTTATTGTCCAGCTATTCGGAAAAAATCAATATTTTTTCCTTAAAGCGTAGAAATTAAAGGGAAAATATTCTTTTCTTAAAGAACTGCAATTTCTCTTCATTACCACGCAAACTATTAACAAAATATGCAAGGTTTTACCCATTATAATAACCTCTTATACTGGCATTGTGTGAAGAACATTTAATAAGGTGTTGTTTCATCTATTAGTTCTATGTCTACCTTATCATGAAAACTTTGAAAGTAGTTTAAGAATTATACAATAACTCGGGTTACCTAAAACCTCAATATTCGAAGGTAACTTAACAGTTTTACTCACTGACAACATAAAATGCGCCGTTGGTTTTTAGATTATTTACAGTGCATGTCCACAACCCATCGTCCCTTGCAAAGCTGGCCTTCCAAACTGTCAGGTTAGAAAAGGTTCGGCTTATCGATGCACTATAAAATTGGTTAGCAGTGCAGGTCGACAATGGTAATGTACAGTTGATCACGACGCCATTATGATTCCATTGGACCAAAACATTTTCCGATATTGCATATATTCTACATGATAAAACTCCCTTTGCTCCTTCGGTTGGATACCGTGTGATAAGTAGTTTAGCTGCATATAAATTACATTTATACATGAATATCAGATTAAATACTGCAGTTATGCAATTTTATCTCAAAAATATATGCAAAATCAGTCAGATAAAAACATTGTGGAAAAAATCTCAGATTAACGATAACGTCTTGCGGGGAGGTGAAAGACCTGAAATAATGATAACAATAAACTGAAGAATCCTCATAGGATTCTCTTGAAGACGGAATCCCTTAACAAGAAGCACTAGGGCCTTGAATCACTCTTCTGATAAATTGTGCAACCTGCCCATTCTATTTGAAACCTTTAAATATCCTGTATCTTAAGATAAAGTCTTGAAAGTCCAAAAGTTGGTCATCTACATTTCTGTCAAAACACTCTGAGAATCCAAGAGGAATCAATCGACAAAGTGAGATGATTCGAAGCCCCATATTATCCTAAATATTCAGAAACAGTCATGAAATTCAAAAAGTAGGTTACACTCACCTACCTTTTAGCAGGCAATCTCCGAGACCCCAAAATGCCTCAAATGACAAAGTTTAATGATATTTAGACCTTTATTATTTTCAATTGAAATTCCAAAAGTAGGTCTCAGTGACCTACTTTTAATTTGACACACTTTCTTGGGACGACCCAAAATGCATATACAGATCTAAAAAAAAAGATTGATTATTCATAGCCAATAAGTCACCGTGACCTACTTTTAGTCCACATTCTCCGAGGACCCAAGATGCATCAACTGACAAAGTTTGACCATAGGTATAATAAAATCCAAAATATGCCTCTAAAATAAATTGAAATAGAATACCTGCAAATTCAAAAAGTCACCTTAACAAATTTTTGATAAATGTGTTTAAATGCCTTAAAAAGCATCTATTGACAGACACTAAAAACAATCAGCCATTAAATACAATGTATTGCTATTTAGGGAAGTAGGATATGAAAAAATACTTCCGTACTTACAAATGTTAAAAAGTACTGAAGCAATCTTATTGCTGACTATATTTCACATGATTGCTTTTACTAGTAAGTATTATGGTATGTTACTCGTCAGCATTTTAGAAAAGTTCAGGCAGAACCTATTACTTCAAAACTATTTACTAGAATTCAATTTTTATGATATACATGTATTTGAATTAAACAAAGCAAATTGTTCAACACTCAATTGCTTAAAATTTTTCAAAGAAAAACTTATGAGGAACTATTTCTTGTGGTAGAAGGAAATTTAACAGAAAATTTTGTAAATCTTCACATTTATTCATTTTAAAATCTTGGAACTTAAGCCTCATATACTTTTGCTCAGAGAATACTTTCCGGCATGATATCCTTGGAATATTAAATATGGGTCTCAATTTATGTTTAAACAACAAATTTTACACCTTCCCTCAACAAATGAAGATATATTAAAAAGTCGAGATAAAATTCATAACGTTTATTAAAAGAACATATTGTGATCGTATTGTGATAACATATTGAAGACTCATTGGTTATGATAATATGAAAATATCATACCATTCTATCGTGTAATTTTTAAATAAATACATTTATTAAAGTGAACACTTTCAAGTTTTGTTAATTAAGTGTAAAATATGTATAAATATATTTACTCACTGTTTGCATCAACACTTCCACTCAGTCCCCACCAAAATATGACATGGGAAAAAATTACCAAAATGCCTGCGCAAAGACAAAACCCAATTTGATTGATGTCAATTACATTTAAAAGTTAAGTTATATCTATACTGTATATCTCCGATTTACAGGTATCTCTGTCCGATCATTATTAGACAATGCAAAATATTTTAAATCTAGCTTACATCTATTTAGAAAACAGGAATCGGAAGGCTGGTACCAAAACAGTAATACAAGCATCAGTATCAAATTCTCTGTAATGCAAAAAAATAATTGATATATTTTTACAAGTGGCATACTGTAACATTTGATATCCATGCCCTTTTTAGAGCAGTCTATTGCCAAAAATTGAGTATATCATCTCTTACAGTATTGTTGAACTCTTCTTATTAAATTTATGTAATGAAAATTTTTGTCCAGAAGTAATAGTAAGATTGCCCAAATTTCCCAATGGAATTGTGTTATTTTGTTATGCTGAGAAGGTATCAAGTGACATTTCCCTGTTCTTTTACAAAAGCAGACAAAAGGCGGATGTTAAAGGTATTTATTTAGAATAGATTACCGCGTGCAAAAAGTTATCGTGCATATTTTTAGTACATTTATTCAACAAAGATTTTAAATAAAAATTACCGCGACGTTAAAGAGACAACATAACCGTCAATTTTTTTACTGCGTTTTAGGGGTACGTATTTTACTCCTATGCGTATGATTTTCAACCAAATTAAATTCTTAAGGTTTAACAAATTGGCGCTAAAAGTATAATATAGCTTTAGAAAAATATAGCAAGCCAGGTGAATTTTAAGAGGAAGATCAAAATGGCAAAAAAATATCAATATAACATAGGCTGAATTTTACCATTTAGCTTTTCTTATAAAATTCACCTGGCTTGGTATATTTTTCTTAAGTTTACATTACACTTTTAGCACCATGTTAACATATTCTGAAATTCGTTTTCACCTGTAAACCTTTACTGAATGTGATTTGTCTATATTTGTTTTTTTTTTCATTAAAATATTACTTATATTTTCCAAGTCTTTTTCATATTCCAGTTCTTAGGAGAAAAAATTCTAAGAACCATCCGCATTTCTAAACTTGTGACATGATATTAAATCTATTTAAGGACATTGCATTGGCAACGTTTCTGGCTTTCCTATAGAATTTTTCAAGATTTTTTGAACAGGTTTAATGGCACCAAATATGTTCAATTAAGGTCCTTTTTACTCATCAAGCCAGCCTTCCTTTATAGATTTTGTCAAATCAATGTTTTTACAATTTTCAATACATTCCTATGTAAAATGTTGATTAAATGGGCCTATATTATTTTTAACCGTAAGTTTTCTCCAAAACCCATTTTTTTCATAAGGTTTATACATAAAATACATTGTTGAAACTTCTGCAAGAGAGTTTCTAAGATATAAGATTAACTTTAAAGCCGTTCGTTTCTATGGTATGCTATGCTATTTATAAAACATGTCTATGACTCTATGTGTGACAAAATTCATTCTTATCTGAATTGTGGTTTTGTAAATATAGAGATAGTTCGCAAACTTTTTGATCACCCATAATCTCAAGCCACGGTCAAGAGTCCGCATATAGCTCTCTCCCAGAATAGGAGAGGATCGTACATTTTGGCCGTGGTTTGCGACGATGGATCACCCCTCGTATAGTACACGTAATATATTTACTAAAAATTAAATGACATCTTTTAGTAAATGAATGAATTAATGTTCCATTAAGCACAAATAAAGTATCCATATATATATATATATATATATATATATATATATATATATATATATATATATATATATATATATATATATATATATATATATATATATATATATATATATATATATATATATATATATATATATATATGTATTTTCTATCATTCCGGAATGTCAATCCAAAAAAATCCGGAATGTTTAGTGATAAAACATTGTCTATTGTGCAGCAAAATATGTTTTGATAATATGTTAATATAAACCCGTTAAAGTTTGTAAATTTATAATCAGAATGAGTTGATTTATTACGGTGGTATATTTAGGACACGCAATTATTTCTTTTTTAAATACCAGAAAAAGATTATCTTGTGAAAACGAGATATTATCTTGTGAAAACGACTTATTATCTTGTGAAAACGAGAAATTATCTTGTGAAAACGACTTATTATCTTGTGAAAACGACATATTATCTTGTGAAAACGAGATATTATCTTGTGAAAACGAGATATTATCTTGTGAAAACGACATAATATCTTGTGAAAACGAGATATTATCTTGTGAAAACGAGATATTATCTCGTTTTCACAAGATATTATGTCGTTTTCACAAGATTATATCTCGTTTTCACAAGATATTATGTTATTTTTTCTGGTATTAAAAAAAATTATTACATGTCCTAAATATACCATAATTTTCTTTTTATTTCATCAGAATTTTTTCAATATTCAAGATCGAAAATTGAATAATGTCTCAAAGAATGACATTATCCTAATATTAAGATGTTTGTTTCGCTTACCTGGACCAAATGTTTTCTTACTGGCTCTTGAGGTAGCTGTTAAAAAAATGATTGTCTAAAATTGATTGAGTGGTTTTTTTTTTATTTAACATCCCTTAGAATTTTTATGAGATAAAAATACAAAATACGGCATGACGGACTTTTTGACTTGGTTGACTCGATTCTTAGGAGAACTGAAGTGTGAAGGTTTCTTATATTGAATTAATCTTGTTTCTGGTGTCTTTTAAGGAGGTTGGCGGGTCAACAAATTAACCACAAATTAACCACCAGATTTAACTTATCTTTTTAGATATGGTATATTAAGCTGTCAACTATCATTGGCAAAGAAAAAATTAATACATTTTAGTTTTTAAATTTGATCATTTTCGTATATCTTTATTTGGAGCTCTTCTCATAAAGGAGATCGAAATAGTCTGAAAATGGCTGCCATCCCCCCCCCCAACTTCTTAAAACCTAAAAAAAAATTAAGATGAAAAATGTTCTTTCGCCAAAAACTCCGTGAACAAAAATTGCATGTCAAAAGTTTTTACGAGGATATCTTTAAAAAACTGGAGCGTTGGTATGAAAAAAAATCCATCACGGGTATTTGCGATGATTCTGCTATTTTAACGTATACGAATATTCGAATTGTCGACGTATTTTTTTCGTTTCTTCTCCATCAGGATCACAAGGCGTGACCGATCGGCAGGGGTGTTCCCTCCACCACCTCTGATGTTTTGCAGGTCCGTGTTTGCTCTGTTCTTGCCTTTCATTGTTTGATTGGAATTTTGAGTTTGAATACTGTGTGTTATCTCCATGTATTTAATGTCGCATTGTGACGTCAATATTTATTTAGTTTTGAATGACAAAGGTTCAAAACTAATAAACTTAACTTATTTAGTTAACTAAAAACTATGACCTGGAGCACCTTTTTTGACCAAGCTGAGGTTATAAACACACCTACTAATGTGTTCGGAATCTTTTATTTTTCGGTGTTCTGCAAACTATAAAAACCCAATGAGTTCCGAGTAGCTCTGGCAGCAGCTCTGGCGAGAGTTAGCAAGATTACAGCGAGATAATTAAATTATTCACGGAAATGTGGCTAGAAATTGACTAGCACGTGGAGACATGGTAAACAGAAAAGTTATGTTGCATTTTAGTTTTCACCACCCTATGAAATTATTCTGTAGATATGTACTTCAATCGATCTCTCTTGAATTCATTCAAATTCAAATTATATGTATTCTCTAATATACAATTTCCTGCTGTCATGAAAATTTCATTTTAGACAAATATGTTTTGCATGGGAACCAGGACTATATTGTTTGGCGTCAGATTACCGAATGAGGCACCAATGTTACTTTAACTGACAAATCAGCTGAAGAAGAATTTCATTGTGGGTTACTACGAATAATATAGGAACTTTACGCTTGAAAAAATTACTTTATTGTACTATCGGTGAATACAATTGTCTGATGGATTCCCTTGCCAAAACACGTGATCGTGGGTAAAGTTATGCAAAAAAAAAAGCTTTGTCCATTTAAATGCATAAGAGATGCTGCTCGTTTTCCTTACCCTTGAAGTGCTGGTTTTCTGAACTTGACACTAACTACGTATACATTATATTAAACAAGTTTTCTCTAGTTAACAACAAATTAAAAACGTCCGATACATCGTTCATAGTTTCTAATCTTTGCATTTTGTTCATAAGAACATTTTTTTTTATTTTGCACTCCATTTACATGATCATAGATTGACCTGAACCACGTGTTAGAGTAAAATGTAAACATGTATTTGGCGTAAACATTTTCAATCAACAATTGGTCAGTTACCCGTGGTAAGATTCTCTGTGCGCATTAATAAAAATAGCCATATAAGGTAAACAAAGGTTTATCAGTGTAGATGAAATTACACATGTTTTTTTTACCAGCGTGTCTGTCACTAGTGAGCTCTAATTTTTGCCGTACACCATGATAAAATAACGTAAACCATGATGAAATATATTATAATTTACCCCCTCCCCCTTTAGCCACTCTTTTGAAAATCACTAAAGTCTTTCAGAAAGGTTTTCATAGAACATCTTTTCAAATTAAACAAACTAAAGCAATTTCCTGTTTACTGCCAATTTTATTTATAAACCGGCTCTACCCTATAACCTTTGAATAGGTAAACCTAAACAACGTGTCTTGAATTTAAATCACAATAACAATAGTAGGGGGTGATAAAGCACAATTAAATGAATTTATTCCTCAATTTTTTTTATTTTTCAATGAAAAATGTCCATTAATGAACACGGAATTGTTATGCAGCCTACAATGTTTATTCCAATCCTGACTATATATGTAAATGGTGCCTGTTTTGGAGGGTAATGGTTGAAATTGAAACCCCAAGGAAAACGATTGTCAACCGACGCGTCAGCGGAGGTTGACAACGGTTTTTCGAGGGATGTCAATTTCAACAGTTATGTAGTATATTATTAACAGACACCGGTTTGGTGTATGAAACAGAATTTATTGAACAGTGGAGCATTCAGACATGGCGGTAAATTACAGAGATACCAAGGGCAGATATCTCCAACTTCCATTTATAGATAAGTCATACCTTTATTAGATAAGTCGTACATCAACATACTAAAGTACATTTCATCCCCTCACTAAAATTAAAGAGATTTTTTCATTTAACATACAGATACTGTTTTAAATGTGTAAAGCTTTCAATAGTTCATGGCAAAGATTTTTGATTATGTTTCAAACACTCAGAAGGAACAAAACAAATAAGAACAATAACTAATATAGCAGAAACTGAGTTCTTACAGCTACACGGGTATTCTTATGCCTCTAAGCACAGTGCAAACTGCTGACTAGACGCAATTTAAATCAAAAGTCACTAAAAGAATTATTTACAAGCACTTCACAAGTCAAGTTTCTCAGGTGCTTTAACGAGTCGTCCCGATCTGGTTTGGAGTGCGTTTTTGTGATTGGCGGGTTTGTCGCTGACTTGAGGTGTAGCAGCATTTTCTATGGTAGGCTCACTGGGACTGCTGTCTTCCATGGGAATGTCCTGCTTAGCAGGTTCATCCTGAGGGTGTTTGCTTGATTTGTGGAGGTGAACCCGATTTCTGCGATAAAGTCTTCCTTTGCTTTTCACTACATAAGATCTTGGTTTATCTGTTTTCTCTAGGACAATTCCTGGGAATAAGGACGAAGAACCAGATAACTCCAAGTTACTTACGGCCTGTTCTATGTCAGCATTTATTGCTGGCCAATACATAACCTCTCTGGTGCGACTCTTTGACTTGACTATCCCAAGATGAGACATGTGTATAAGGTTAAGCATCTCTTTCCGCAAGCTGGGTGGGATGACTATTCGACTTCCCTTGTACAAAATGCTGTCAAGAACGGATAACTGATCCCTCGAGTCGAAGTACTGTCTGACCTCATAAGGAGATTCATTCTTTGTGTCTGGCCATCCTGTTTGAATTGTGCTCATGAGAGGTACAAGTTCACGTCTTGTTGATCTCTGGATTTCGGAGTATTTCTCAGGTGTTATGGATAACATACAGATCATGTCCGCTTTCTCTGTCTCCTCTTCACCGCTTTCCTATAGGTAGGCCCGTGATAGAGTCTCTGAAATGTATATCATAGTTCCTTTCCTGTATTTGACATGGATGTCATACCACTGTAGTTTTATCATCATCTTTTCGATCCTCATAGGAGCCGACAGTAAGGGTTTATTGAACAAAGTCTCTAAAGACTTATGGTCACTGTACACAGTGACCTCCTTGCTGAAAATGTAGTTGTGAAATTTCTGACAACTGTACACTATAGCTTGCATTTCCTTCTCAATTTGTGCGTACCGTTTCTCTGTTTCTGTAAGAGCTCTAGAACCATAAGATACTGCACGGCCTTCCTGTGTCAAAACTGCTCAAAGTCCATCTTTATTTGAATCACACTCGATCTCGACCGGTTTATTCAAATAGAGCTAATAATGGTGGCTTGGTACACACGTCCTTAAGTCTCTGGAAACTTTCATCCTGTTCATGATTCCACTGGAATTCCACCTCAGACTTGAGAAGAATTCTTAGTGGAGCGTCCGAATCACTCAGGTTTGGAATTAATTTTGACAAGTACTGTATGAGACCAAGGAACCAGTGGACACCTTCCTTGTCATGTGGAGCTGGTATTTTCAGTAAAGCCTTGGTTTTGTCCGGGTCTGGTTTGAGTCCCTGAACCGACACTATATGGCCCATGTATGGCACACTAGACTTACGAATTTTGCATTTTTCAAAGTTCAATTTCAGATTGTCGTCTGTTGCCCGTTCCACACTTTTTCTAAGTATGGCGTCATTTTCCTCGAGTGTTTCACCTGCGATGAGGATGTCATCTATGATTGCAGACGCACCTTTGATTTCGGATATCATGTTGTCCATTATCTTCTGATTGATTTCTGGTGCTGATTTTATGCCGAAGGATAGTCGGAGGCAACGATATCTTCCGATCGGTGTGTTAAATGTTGTCAGGTACGACGACTTCTCTCGTCGAGCTGAATCTGCAAAAATCAAAATTTGGCATCGAATACTGAGAATATCTTTGCTTACAGTTTGTCTGATATGACATCATCAATAGTTTCATAGGGTGGTGTTCACGTTTTATGGCACGATTTAAATCCCTTGGATCTATTCAGATGCGTATCTTTTCTCCCTTCACACTCACTACCATTGAGCTGACCCACTCTGTTGGACTGTCCATGTGATGTATCCATTAGCTTCCATCTCTCTCAGCTTGTCAACTGCCCTGGACTTAATTGCTGCTGGGAGTTTCCTTACGGGATGAATAACTGCAGAAACAAATTCGTCTTTACTGAGATGGTATTCTCCAGGTAGTAGAGAAACACCGACATCTTACGAACGAACGTAACCAAAAACGGGGATCAGTCATTGTAGTCTATTGTATTCACGGTTGGATTATTGAATTCTTCAATTTTATTGGGATTTCGATAGATAAAATCCCCACAAGATACCTCAAAGCCACGCCTTGTCGTAGCCGCTACCGTG